CTCTTTTGGGCTACATTTCTGAGAGTCTAGAAAATAGAATCTGAAAAGAGCCCCTTTAAAAACAATGCTATAAAAATATAGTACAAAGTACACTATGGTGCCAAAAGTATTTGCTCGTCTACCTTCACACGCGATTGAACTTGAGTTCTTAATCCATAAAGTTTAATATGATGTTGGGTCACCCTTAACAGCTTCAACTCCTCTGGCAAGGCTTTCCAAAAGGTTTAGAAGTGTATTTATGGAAATTTTTGACTGTTGTTCCAGAAGCACATTTGCGAGGTCAGACACTGATGATGGACGAGAAGGCCTGGCCACTCTAATTCACCCCAAAGGTGTTTTGTGCAGTTGGGGTCAGGATTCTGTGCAGGCCAGTCAAGTTCTTCCACACCTAACTCACTCATCTATGTCAATGTGGACCTTGTTTGTGCACAATCAATGTTGGAACAGGAAAGAGGCATCCTCAAACAGTTGCCACAAAGTTAGGAGCATGAAAATGTCCATAATGTGTTGGTATGTGGAAGAATGGGGCTGAGCCCAACTCCTGAATAACAACCCCGCATCATATATGGAAGAAAACGCTGGAATTCACTGAACTCCTGAGAGCGATTTCTTTCACAAATATTTGTAGAAGCAGTCTGCCTGCCTAGGGCCTTGACTTTATACACCTGTCGCTATGGAAGTGATTAGAACACCTGAATTCTATTATTTGGATGTGTGAGTGATTACGTTTGGCAATATAATGCATCTGGCCCTGAATACCTTTAGAAAGTGTTGAGCTTCTCTGGGTGGGGTCCACAATCACACATAATAAAACATCCCTCGATACTATCAGTATTGTTTGAGTGCAGCCTCTCCAGTGCCTACATGAATAATGCCTGAGGTTGTCTCTCTGTCCCAGTCAGCGTGTTTTTCAGTACATAATTTACCATGTCTGCACAGCCTGTCAGTGAGTTTGTTTCCATCTCTGAAACAAGCTCAGACAGACGTTTCACCATTATGAAATCTCCAATAAAGCCCTTTTATTTTTTTTAAGTGCTTTTCAATATAAAAATTTAACGTTAGTCCTCCCTTTTCTGTTTATTTAATTATACCCTCTGCAGGAAAAACATGTTACATAATACATATTTTCTCAGCCTGAAAGCTGCGGTGTAGTCAAGTAACTGCAAGTACATTTTTAGCATTTTCTAGATAAACTACTTCACTCCCAGGCTTTATAAAATGATAATCTATACAGCCGTGTTGTCAGATAATTATTTTTTGGATATGCTTTTTGCTCGGTGCTTATTCCTGTCAGAGGCCGACACTTGTCCTCTCACAGTCTACCTGTCAGTCAAAAAGTGTGGTTAGTGGTTGTCTGACATGTTTGACTGTCACTTCTGCTGCTGTGGCATTTTGCAGTTGCTTCTTGTACTGAATATCCTGTTATTACATTTATTCCAAATAAGCCAATAACAGATATAATCCTCAGGTGTCATTAAAATGTACTGTTTCATAATTGTAGGGAGAAAAAAAACATTCCCCTGAAAAATAGGCACACTGTGTTCTTATAGTTTGGTTCGTCTGATACTCATTTCCATTCTGATTTTTTGCAATATGGCACTACTTCGAGAAAGGCATCAGAAAATAAAGAAAATACAGGGATTTTTATTACCGATAGGGATGCGCAATGTGCTCTCATTCCAACGGCGTCAAACGCTGCTGTTGTGTGATATGTAGCTGATTTTTCCCAAATTATGCACAGGATATTGTTTGGTGTCTGTGTCAGGATATTGGTCCTTTTTTATAGAGCCACACAGAGAGATGGTGGTGGTGCAGAAAGTGGTGGTTTTATCTGTCTTGAAGTCCTTTAATATTTTAATACTGATTTTGATTCTCTGTCTTTTTACATTAGCATGATTTTGCTAGTAGTACGTCTCCGTTGTGTGACCCTGTGTTATGATTCATGAAGTCATTATTACCCTTTTATGTTAACTTTTAGTTTTATTGTTCAGGGTCTTGTCTAGTTGTGGACGCACTTCATTTTATTTACTGTTCTAGTTTTAGTTAAGTTTAGTTTAACTTTTAGGCGTTCTGTTTTGAGTTTGTTGCTCCTCATGTTTGCTCCTCTCTGCTTCTGTTATGTGTATTTGTTCTGTTGTGCTTATTTCTCTTTGTCTTCAGATTAGCTCTCTGTGCTTAGGACTCATGTTTTGGTTACTTCCTATTTTTACTTTGAAGGTCCCGTGTTAGTTCTGGTTTCTGATTTTCCTTACAGTCTTCGTCTGTGTCTCGGTACCCTCTTGTTGGTCATTACCTAATGAGCTGTCTGGGTATAGTCTTATATTCCTGTCAGTCTTTGTCACAGCCTTTGCTATCTTTGCTGTATGTCTTCTCCCTGTTTAGTCATGTGTAATGCTTTGCTCCAAGTGATTTTTGAATTATTGTTTATATATTACCAAAAAACAAATGCAGGACCGTCTTGTGTCCTGCATTTAGGTCCTCATTCTTATGCTCCACATCCTGTGACATTTTAGCCCTGCACATAAAAGAATGACATTTAAATCACAGATAGAGGGGCAGTTACAAAAGTCAACAACTGGACTCATTGTTGTTTCTCAATCTGAAGCCAGTGTTGCTTTATTTAATTAGCTCATTATAACGTTAGCTAGTTTAAAATTGGAGAAGAGTGAACAGCCGGATTGGTGCCACGTCTGCAGGGATGGAGGTGCTCTGTTGGTCTATTGTGGTAAAGAATGAGCTGGGCATGAAGGCAAAGCGGTCCATTTGCTGTTCACTATATGCGCCTCCCCTCACCTGTGGCAAGAAGCTGTGGATAGTGACCGAAAGAATAGGATCAACAACACAAGAGGTGGAAATGAGCTTTCTCAGAAGGATGTCTGGGCTCAGCTTTAGAGATCATGCCAGGAGCTTAGTCAACTAGTACAGCCGCTACTCTACTGGACTGAAAAGAGCCTGTTGAGGTGATTTGGGGATCTAACTAGGGCAACTCCTGGATGCCTATTAGCTGAAGTGTTTCAAGCATCTCCAACTGGGATGATACACTGGGGCATCCGCAGAACATGCTGGGGAGATTATGCCTCTCAGCTAGTTTAGTCCGGAAGCTGGAAGAGCTGAATGAGGTGGAGAGGGAGTGTGGGCATTTCAGCTTTGACTGAAGACCCAGATAAATGGAAACAGGGCAGGGTTGTCCATGGTGGGCTTGGCAAGATTTTATATAGGTCTCAAGTGTGGCAGACATGAAAACACTACTGTATTAGTACATATGTTCACAGATTCAGCTCTGCTGTTAACGCCAGAAATTCAAACTAAACCTTTCTGAAATGTAACCCTGAGCAACATAGCAGACCCACTACAAACAGCAACAAAACACTTTTGATGCATTTTCCCTGTCTGCCCTTCAATCATACGTTGGCTGTCTCAGACGTGTTTATAAAATGCAGTGAAAAGATATTTGCCCTCTTCTTGATTTCTTAGTTTGTTCCATATTTGTTACTCTAAAATGTTTTAGCTCACCAAACAAATTTCAATATTAGACAAAGTGATGATTTCATTTATTAAGGGAGAAAATCTATCCAAACCTGCCTCACAAAGCCATTTCTAAGGCTTTGGGACTGTGAACCACAGTGAGAGTCATTATCCACAAATGGAGAAAGCTTGGAACAGCGGTGAAGCTTCCCACGTGTGGCCAGCCTACCAAAATTACTCCATCAATGACTCATCCAGGAGGTCAGAAAAGAACAAAAAACAACATCTTAAGAACTGCAGGCCTTACTTTTCTCAGTTAAGGTCAGAGTTTATGATTCAATAATAAAGAGACTGGGGGAAAAAAAGAACTGAAAGGCTTGTTTCATACTTTCCAAAAAACATCTTGACGATCCTCAAGAGTTTTGGGGAAATACTCTGTACACTAACCAGACAAAAGCTGAACTTTTCAATTGAACTTTTCATAAAAAGAACATCACACCAACATTTAAACATAACGGTGGCAGTGTGATTGTCTGTCGCTGCTTTGCTGCTTCAGGACGACTTGCTGTAATTGATGAAACCATGAATTCTGTCCTCTACCAGATAATCCTGAAGAACAATGTTTGACCATCAGTTCATGGCCTGAAGCACAAACGCACTTGGGTTATGCAGTAAGAGAAAATCCACAATAAGTCCACCTCTGAATGACTCAAAGAAATTAGACAAAATCAAGTTTCTGGAGTGGCCTAGCCAAAGTCAGGACAAATCCAATTGCGATGTTTTTGCACGACCTTACCAGGACGATTTTGGTTGAAAACATTGAAACAATTCTCCAAAGAAAGGTTGGCTAAAATTTCTCCACACTGATGTGAGAGATGCATTGGCAGTTAATAACTGATTGCAGTTTTTGCTGCCAACGGTGGCACAACCAATTAGGTTTATTTAGGTGAGTCAAAATTACTTTTTCAATCTTTCTGAATAAATAAAATCATCATTTAAAAACTGCTTTTTCTATTTACTCAGGTTATTTTTGTCTAATATTAAAAACTGCTTGATGATCTGAAAAATGTAAGTGTGACAGTTATGCAAAAATACTGGCAACCGCCCATGCTTCCCCTCAGCCTCTATCAAACACACGTGTGAGGTCAAGAGCACTGAGGTTCAAACTCATCCAAGACTGTTAGTAGATGCACCTATGATATCAATTTAAAGCTCGTACGTCACCTTAATCTTGAGTTATCGCATTCAAAACGTTTTGAATCCAGGAAGCGGACAAATACTTTCTTTTACTTGCACTGGAGATGAGTTGAATCTAATTTTATCCTCATCCTAAACGGTTATGGTTAATCCCTTTTTTATATGTCCAATTTTTCAATCACACAACAGTTATGGAGTATTTATTGTGCTAATAATGCAAAATGTGATTTTTACAAATGAAAACAATGTAAAGTCAAATCAGTTTAAAATTCTAGGCTTTGTGAGCTTCAGTAATCCCCTCATTATTTGCTTGTTTCACTCTGGACTGCCACACTGACCTCAGGCAACTGTTCTCCTCTCTCGAGTGCGTCCCGCAGGTAGCGCCCCCTATCGTTGTTAGACTGCAGCTCGCTGCAGAGCAGGTCACCCAGCGTGACGCGACGCAGGCCGAACCTCTCCTCCATCCGCTCACACTGCAGAGCCTTACCTGAGCCTGGACCACCTGAGACAGAAACACAGAGAAACAAGCAGAAATAAGGCCATATCGTCACGGTCGAGTGATCACTGAGACTAACCTCCTGTGAGAAGAGGACGACGAGGAGGAAATTGAAAGATGACAGAAGAATATAAAGGAGGGAGATGATAGGAAATGGATGATGAGTGTTTGTGTGTGTGTCCGAAAGAAGGTACAGTTAAAGAGCAAAGAGAAACAGATAAAAAACAGATAAAACAAAAAATAAACAATTAAATTACATTTATTAAGAAGGAAAATGGAAGGTAAAATTGTTTCTGCATTTTTCTGTGAAGTCTTCTAGGAGTGGTTTTTCACTGACTTTGCTGTTAGCATCGCAATAACATTTAAGCTGCATAATAAAAGAAAGATCATCTGTATGCCGTCCTCATTAAGACAGGGGTTTGTGCAGAAATAAGTTTGCAATTTGCAGAGTGATGCAGAGGTAATATAACAATTACTTTCCACAAGGAGTAAATAAGGAAAGCACTGCATACTTTTAAAAAAGTAAAGAGTAATGTGGAGGGCTTAAAAAGGCAGAATGAACATACAAAGCATCATATTCAGAGAAAGATAAATCAACGTCGGAATTAAACCTTTTTTTCTAACCAACCAGCCTTCATTAAGTAATTACATTTTAGCTGCTTTCACTTCTTACGGTCAGAATATATACCGGCACTTTCTGTGTTTGATAGCTTGCTGTGATGCTCGCAGGTGTTGTTGCAAGTATAATTGTATAACGTGGCCGTGAAACTGTGTGAAGCAGTCATTTATCAGCGCTAGCCTTGAGCCTAGTAATAAAACTCAGGATGCGCTTCATATTCATCATTATTCAACTCGAGTTGAATTCAAAAACAAGTGCGCTCATCACCATTTCCTTACGGAGCACGGACAGATATGAGCGAGGTGAGGCTCGCACGGTGGGGAACGACTGAAATCAGAGAGAAGAAATCAAGGAGGAAGGGCTAGGGATTCATTCAGAACATAAACACCGCCTTCATTTATTTAGCCAGGCTCCATACGCTGTACAGACACCTCCACCAGGATGTAAAATAATGACCCAGAAATCCTTCAGAAGCTTGTTAGTGGCTTCGTCTTGCAAGTCAAACCCCTGCGAACTGTGAAGACTGTTTCATCACTGAGAACATCATCTAGATGAACCCAGTTTAAAGGTCACAGCTTTGGGAAGTGTTTTACTTTCCTTCTTTACTTTAACTTCATTTTCTTAGTAGGTGTCACAGTGTGCACTGCAGCCATGTTAAACATTTCCATGCTTTTAGGGTGCAAACAGCTTGCATAAATGAAAATGTCCTCAGATATATTCCAGCACTAAAAATGGGCAGCAGGAAATGAGTGTGATAACATAATGTGGTGTGGATTTGATAGAACACAGGAGAATCATAAAGATTCACACATTTTTTTTTTTATCCATATAATCTAAACCTAAACAGAAACATAAAAAACATGAGTAAAGAATGAATTTGCAGCTTTGGCATGTTTGAATTCTGCTTCTGGTTTCTCTGCTAACGCTCAGTTTGGTAGAGGCTGAGATCTGAGATGCCCAAACCATCCTACCATGTGTGAACAGCACTGTCACAGCGGCGTCCGCGGTAAGAGCCAAAGTGACAGATGGAATAAATTAGAGAGACAGAGATGGAAGCAGACAGAGATGAAAACGATGAGCACAAAACAAGGCAAAGACAGATACAGCCCTGCTAAATAATGTTTCCTTAAAGCATTAATAGGTAATGTTAAGAAACTTTATCAGTTTCCATGAAAAATGGACTGGGAGTGCAGATTTTTTCCTCAAAATGTTGACATGATTTATCTGTTATCTGGTGATGATTACTGAGAATGAAAAATGTTCTTGCGTCATTTTAATCATTCGACAAAAATCTACACATTGTGTTTCACAATGAGCAAAGATGACAAACCAACACAATCCTCTGGAATTTATATTCTGTATGTGTTAAATTACATGCACTACCAGTCAAACGTTTGGACACACCTTCTCATTTAGTGGTTTTTCTTTATTTCTACTACATTGTAGATACTGAAGACATCAAATATATGAAGGAATATATATGGAGATATGTAGCAAAGAAAAAATTAATAAATAACTCAAAAAATATGTATTATAGTTCCTCAAAGTAGCTACTCTTTGCTTTGTTGGAAGTGCTGCAAACCTTGGCCTTCTCTCAGTGAGCTTCATGATGTTGTAAGAGAAATGACATCTCCATTATTACTTTAGGAACTGGAGGTCAGTCAGTCTGGAAAATTGTCAAAACTTTAAATGTGTCCCCAGTTGCAGTTGCAAAAGCCATCAAATGCTACGACAAAACTGGCTCACAAGAGGAAGACCAAGAGTCACCTCTGCTGCTGAGGATAAATTCATCCAAGTCGCCTCAGAAATCAATTTAACAGCACCTCAGATTAGAGCTCAGATAAATGCGACACAGAGTTCCAGTAGCAGACACGTGTCTACATGAACTGTTCAGAGGAGACTGCGCGAATCGGGCCTTTATGGTCAAACAGCTGCTAAGAAACCACAGCTAAGGAAAAGCAACAAGGAGAAGAAATTTGTTTGGGCCAAAAAACCACAAAGAATGTTGTAAGGGCTATTTGACTAAGAAGGAGAGTGACGGAGTGCTGCACCAGATGGCCTGGCCTCCACAGTCACCTGACCTAAACCCAGTCGAGATGGTTTGGGATGAGATGGACCACAGAGTGAAGGCAAAAGGACCAACAAGTGCTCAGCATCAGTTGGAAAACCATTTCAGGCGACGGCCTCATGAAGCTCATCGAGAGAATGCCAAGAGGTGCAAAGTGGTAATCAAAACAAAGGGTGGCATTTTTTAAGAATCTAAAATCTAAAACACATTTTGAGTTATTTCACACTTTTTTTGTTTATCACATAATTCCATAAGTGTTCATTCATAGTTTTGATGCCTTTAGTGAGAATCTACAATGCCATGAAAATAGACACCATTAAATGAGAAGGTGTCTAAACTTTTGACTGGTAGTGTATGTTATCAATTAATCTTCTGTGCCTTGCTGATTACCTGACTGACTGTTTAATCAGCTGATTCTCTAATTAAGCCCGTAAATCCTTAAGGGGAAAAAAAAAGAGATATCATTAGAAATTTCTTCATTAGCTTCAGCAGGGTGGTTTCTGCTTGTTAATGGCATCCTCTAACACCATAACACTCGTTTCCAGCCAGCCCCACTAAGTGCAAAATTACCACTGTTGCATCACACACTACCAGCAGGTTTTTCACTTTTTAAATGCAAGTCTGATTACAAGGGCAAATGATAATTTTCCGCAGAGAGGGGAAATAAAAAGAGAGAGAGATGGAAGTCAGAGAGCATGGTGGAATAAGACAAAAAGATAGAAATGGAGGGAAAATGGCTTAAGTAAAAGCTCACATTAGTATTTCACTGCTTTTTTCCCCCCTGTAGCACTTCTGCAGAACACTTTTGGATGGGTAACCCGATGCAGCAGATGGTTTGTTACACCGAACCATCTGGAAAGTAGTTCTTAGAAATTGTTCGCCAAAAAGCCGGGCACTTTTTCAAATATTCTTAACAGATCACTGGGTCTCACCATCTAACTTAGCGCTCACAGGAATGATCTATAGAATTTAAAGAGCACCAAAGAGGAAAAAAGTCAAGCTGCAAACTGAGGAGCTTTGAAAGTTGGGGGGGGTGAGTAGTGCAGCGATGTATGTAGCATGTAGCTGGCAGATTCTTACCATCTATACAAGAAAAATTTGTATTTTAAAGGGACCCACTTCCAAAAATACTTGGCAGGTGATCAGATGAACCATTTGTCACAAGAAGGATTTTTAAGTCACAAGTTACCATGCAAGGCAGTTGGTGAGGCAAATCCACATTAAACTTGAAGGCGGCTTGGAGATTTTGCTAACTTACAGAAGGTGTATCTGTACCCAAATTTATTGGATTCTTTTACCTGTCGGCCAAGTTTGATGGTAGCTTTTATTCAATCCTGTTGTCAAAGAGGAAAAACAGTCTCCTCTTCTGACTTTTAATTAACAAAATGTAAGTGCCTTCATTAATGTTTAATTCTTAGCAGCATGTGCAGGTGGACAGGTTTAGCATCAATATAAACAAAAGGCCGAATTATACAGAAGACCAAAAGTTCAAACCTGACCTGATATGTACTCATAGAAAAGGACACCCATGTTTTCCAATCAGACTCTTAACAGATGACATTGCATGTTGGATCAAAATCTGACAATGCTTTTCTACATTCATAATTCCATCACTTTTGATAACATCACCAACGCCACTGGCTGAAATGGAGCCCCAAACCATGACAGAGCCTCCACGTTGTTTTACAGATGGCTGTAGACACCCACTGCTGTACCTCTCTCTCCTCCTCTGTACATACTGATGAGCACTTCAACCAATGAATCATCACTCCATCACACCTGTTGCCACTGATTTTTCAGTCCAGTTCTTGTGTCACCTGACACATCTCAGTCTTTTCTCTTTGTTTCACTTAAGAATGGCTTCTTGAAAGCCATGCTCCCACCAAGACCATATCTTTGAGGCTTCAGTGAACAGTAGATGGATCAACTTAAGGATCAGATAAATCTCTCAGGTTCTTTAAAAAAAATCTGAAGGACATGACTTTCAGATACCGTTAATCTGCTGTCAGTTCTTTTTAGGCCTGCCATTGGTTCTTATTTCCTGGACTTGTCGAGTTTCCTCCGATTATTTTTATTTATTTATTTATTTAAAGATCCACGGCACACTGTGCTGAGTTATGCCAAGTTTTCAGGTAAAAGCTCTTTGGGAATCACCTGGTTGGTGCAAAAATACTATTTTATGCCTGTCAAACTGTTATCTTTGTAATTTTTCAGCACTTGTTCATCCCTTCAGTTAGGTAGGATGATTCACTTCTTCAATGATTTTAAGAAACTGTGGCTCCTTGGAAGAAAATTATGAAGAAATGTGGAGCGGCTCTA